TACAACTTCATTCGCTGATATAAAAACAAGTTTTATTCTTGAAATTCGACCCTGTGTCTTAGGGTTCCCACAGTTCTTGACCGAGTGCTCACGTTTATTGAAACCTCGCATAAATCAAGAAATAAGTACGTGTACAAAGTGTACGAAAGCATTCCTTTATTTGACCTTATCATACGATCACAAAAACAACTTTTTTAAATCTTTTTTGGGGTGGTCCTTGGGTAAGCGCCCACCCCCAATTTTTCCCGATTTTGTATGTTCAGGCCCCTGGGCGCATGCCCGGGGTAATACGGTAATTACTAATTACCTAATTTGCATACAGATGAGTAAATTTTCGTTTTTTCCACTGATATCCCAGGTACTAATCATCACATTTCATTGAAACTTGGTACATAGATGTCATAGGACACTGCACAGACCTTAGGGTAATGTCAGTGCATATTAATTACCTAATTTGCATAATTAATTATTTTTCAGCTTTTGATGTTTCAAGTAGTAAGGATTACATTTCAATAAAACTTGGTGCATAGATACTCAAGGACTATGCAGAGATTGATTGTTTTGCGTTAAATATTTGTGCATATTAATTACCTAATTTGCATAATTAGTTAATTTTCAGCTTTTCCACAGATATCTCAAGTACTAATTATCACATTGCAATGAAACTTGGTACATAGATCCTTTAGGACTATCCAGAGACCTGATTAGTTTTAGGGTAAATAATTGTGTATATTAATTACCTAATTTGCATAATTAATTAATTTTCAGCTTTTACACTGATTTCTCAAGTACTAATCATCACATTTCAATGACACTTTGTACATGGATGCTGTAGGACAATAAACAGACCTGGATAATTGTGGATTAAAATCTGTACATATTAATTACTAATTTACATAATTAACCACTTTTAAGCTATCACACTGATATCTCAAGTGCTAATTATTCCATTTCAATTAAACTTAGGTACAATATCCTGTTCTGTCATTGTTTATTTGCATCCTGGTTGGTTGTAATCTATGTCACATGTGCACTACACCACACATTCACGGCAATATGGGATTGTTCACAGCAGTATCTCGTAACCTTAGGCCTCCAACAAAATTCAACCCTGAAGAGCAAATTTGTCTAAGACAATGTACAAACCTAATTAGTTTGGGGTTAAAATCTGTTTATATTAATTCCTTAATTTGCATAACAATTTATAATTTTTTTGGGTTCCAATCACATTTCAATAAAACTTGGTACATAGATGGTCTGTTACATTGCGCAGACCTCATTAATTCTGATGACATTATACCTTTTAACTATAATCAGACCAAATGTCAATATTTTAAAATATTATTTGTTGCTAGTTAATAAAGGTATTAATAGGATAAAATAAATAAATTAACATTACTAATAAAAATGTGTTCAGTGAACTCAACTCGTATACAGTGGAACCTCGATTATCAGAACCTTGATTATCCGAATTTCGGATTATCCCAACGAAATGTTCGTAATTTTAGGAAAATATTCCAAATGTGATAGCTGGCTTTATTTCAACAAGAAAAATGCATATTTGCATATAGTTGACAATTAAACAGCTGTTGAGACTAAGTTGGGATCTTTTATTAAAGGTGTTGACGAAAAAACAATGAGAAATTCACACTTGTGTCCGTTTTTGTTACTTGTAGACGAGCGGTAGCTTTGCCGATCATTTCTCCGATAAACACCCTATTGATCAGATATGAATAAAAAACCATGAAAAATCAGAGTGCTCTTCACCTTTGAACTTGATTCCCTAGTAAACAGTACAAACGAACATACCTGTAATGATCATAAGCATTTGCTCACATGTCATCATTTAAAAGAAAGCGCACGCCTTTGAACATTGAGCAGAAAAGAGAAATTTTGCAGCGGTTAGATCGTGGAGAGAAAGCATCAAACCATCGACATACCATCGAAAAATTTATTGATCACAGTGACACCGCTAATGTGTTGAAAAGAAAGTCAATGAAACCAGCAAAAGACGAACAATTTGACCAAGCTGTCTTTTTAGTCCCTGTTCGGACGAAGTCCGAAAACGGGGACTTATAATTCGGTCTCCGCCCGTCTGTACGTCCGTCCGTCCGTCTGTCCGTCTGGAGTCATATCTCAGAATCCCTTGGACCGATTCCGTTCATTCTTTCCATGTGCATAGTACTTTATGTGGGACATATGCACATGCAGTGGTTTAGTGATTCGATTCAAAATGGCCGACTGACAGCCATCTTGTTTTTTGAAAATGTCGTATTTTGGACATGCTTTGTCAGTTTTCATTCAAATTTAGTACATAGATCATACATGTTAGGATACATGCCCCTGACCGTCCGTGAGTTCCTGAGTCTGTCCAGTCGACCGTTCGTGTGTTCGTCTGTCCATGCGTCAGTCTGTCCAACGTCATATTTCAGAATTCTGTGGACCGATTTCGTTCATTCTTTGCATGTGCCTAGTACCTTATGTGGGACATATGCACATGCAGTGGTTTAGTGATTCGATTCAAAATGGCCGACTGGCAGCCATCTTGTTTTTTGAAAATGTTGTATCTTGGACATGCTTTGTCAGTTGTCATTCAAACTTGGTACATAGATTATACATGTTAGGATACATGTCCATGACGATTTATTTCGCAATTGGATCAAAGATGGTCGACTGGCAGGCATCTTGTTTTTGTTTTTTTATGTGGTATCTTGGACGTGCTCTGTCAGTTTTCATTCAAATTTGGCACATACATGTACTTTATACATGTTAGGATGCATGTCCATGACAATTTGTTTCAAAATCTGGTCAAGGATGGCCGATTGACAGCCATCTGACTTTTTGGCCTTACTACTATATTTCCACAATTTATGTACCATTTTAATTTGTATTTGGCACATACATCATACATATCAGTGTGTTTCATAATCACATCAAAGATGGCTGAATAATGGCTGTTTTTATTTTGGCCATATTACTACTACACGAAACACATGTTTTGATGTAAATCTGTTGTATACGCCACTTGGAACTCAAGTTTCAAGGACACGCTCGCAACAACCCCTCCGCTTTAATATGACGAGCACAAAGAGAACTTAACGGGGACTGTCATTTTCAATGACTTGTTATGGTTTGTCCAACAACGTGATAAGGGTGTTCCCATTTCGGGCCCATATTACAATAAAAGGCCAGGTGTCTTTATCGGTGTATCCATGCCAACGATGACACGATCTAATCCGATCACACCATCTCCGCCGAACCCCCGATCTCAGTTGCCGATGCCGTCAATGGGTTACAGCTTTTCATGGACTGGTACGAAGCTCAAGATACCACGGAACCTATCAAGTTAATGCAACTTCGCTAACTTGCAAAGCTACAGAGAAATTGCCAACTGAAACAACAACGCCTTGATGTATTTTTTAAGAATCCTACTCGGCAATAAATGAACTGATCGGACTCGCACGACGTACATACTTTTTGCATACAGTGTTTTTTTGGAAACACTTTATTTATTTGCAATTTAAGAAAAATTATTTTGATCAGAAAGGTGTTGTATTTGTAATTGATGACGATTGGTGTGTAAATAAAATACAGCAAGCAATGAAATTGTGTTTATTTTCTGTGTACATGTACGTGTTTATTTCATGGTTCGAATCAATTGTTTGAACAATCAATTATCCAAACTAATTTGCCCCCGCCCACTTGGTTTGGATAATCAAGGTTCCATTGTAAATGAACATGCACCTACATGAAGAAGTTTAATACAGTATCGCATACCAGATCAAACGCGTCTCTGAAAGTGCTGAGTGCTAAACAGTCAATATCTGTACTCTATGGGGCTGGTACACTTACGGTGTTGCTGCCACTCAGTTTATTTATCAGAAGTTCTTGCCAACATAAATTTCACAATGAATTTAATAGACAATATAATTCTAGTAAAATTACATATTAAGGAACTTGAATTGTTGTTTGAAAAAAAACATTGATTCAATATGTGCATAATGTTGATTTGTTTGTTTTGTGGAACACGGTAGCAAATACATGATCCATAGCATTACACTGTTTAAAAAAAAATGATACAATATAGTGAAAATAAGAAAAAATCCTGAATTTGAAATTCCATTTATAAGCTTTTAAACTCAAATACATAATGATGTTTAGTGCAAGAGCTCAACATTGTGTACGCCTGTAATGTGCATACATAAATTCTTGTGACATAGAAGATGTGACAACCAACTGTTAGGATGAGGTCTGGAAAAAACAATTTGTGTTTCCTATTACCCAACCTTCCTATTTTCACTGCTCGACACAAAATTGTAGCAAGCTTTTAATCTGCAAAAGAAGAAAAAGTATACAGAAAAATCTCTACCTACCTACTAACTAGCATGTTATATACACACACAATGTTGCCTGATGTAAAACAAATGTATTATTATTAATGGGAACTCATTTCCGGTTTGAATTCAAACAGCTGTTTTTAATAACAAATTGATATTTATAAACTGTTTTCTGCTATTTACTGTATATTGCAACAACAAGTTACATTTTGTATTATTACTTTTATGATTGATCCAGGAGAGCAGTAAATTTCTGCTGAAGTATGTCAGTCATGATGAGTTTAAGACAAAGATTGTACCAGCTGTCCAGAAATCAATGCTCAGAAGTCCAGAAAACGTTCTAAGAGGTGTGGACTACTCTCCTCTTTTCAATAAATGGTGGTCACAATGCTTGAAGTTAGCTGAATGAACACAACCATTTTATTTGCAAAGTACATAGAGCTGATAGTGATATAAGTATATATTACTGTAAATTATTCATTAAGTTTTAATTTCGCTATTTTTTCCAATAAGTAAAATTTGCTAAATTAAATCCATGTAAACATGTAAAATATCAATAAAAGTGATTGTGAAATTAAAACCCAGTGAATATCTACAAAATATCAAATTGGTAAAAATAAACTAATTATTTATTTATTTTGCGTCAATACTTTGTTTCTTTTTCAGCTGTGAGTGAAATGTTAGGTGGACTGTCTATTGATCTTAGTCAATATTCTAAAGATCTGGGCAAATTACTTGCAGGTAATTATCACAATCATATATGTTACCATTGGAGTCCTGTATAATAACTGTTACATAAATAACTGCACCCAAAAAATCAACCTCAAAATTGTTGAACTAAATTACATTAATCTTTATTAGAGGGTTGATCATTAAATAGTCTAGTAGGTAAGAAAATGTGAAAAAAGTGAGAATTATTTTTTTTCCCTCACTCAGTAAAAAAAAAAATGTCCAGTATGCTTCTTTGCCCTTAATGTCTGTAAATGTGTAATTTTTTTTTTTTTTTTTTTTTTTTTTTTTACAACAATCGGTCTCTACCCTAGAGTTTATAATGCTTCTCAAACCTCAAGTATTTGAATCTAATTCTATTTTTGGTAAATATTTGTGTGATTTTGGTGGTAATAAATGTCATTTTTAATAACTTTAAAAACCATGTTTTGATTTGATGGGTAGTTAGCATGTTGATTGATAGATTGATAACTGCAATTCAGATTTTTCTGAAAATACAAAATCTCTCTCTTAATTTCTGTTGGTGTTCTTAAGGCATTTCATGCAGAATTCTAATTTTACTGTTACTTCATGTACAATGTATACAATATTATTTTTCTGTTCAAAAGCAAAACTTTGTTTATTCATAATTAGTGTTCAGGTATCAAACCTAAGTCAGATGCTTTGGTGAAGGTTATGTTTTTTGTTAAGAATATTAAAGATTATCTCAATTTCCACCTTGAATGTTGCTTAATCAGTAAAATATCTACTACTAACTTAGGCAGAATAGGTTGACTCAATCAGGAAACGTACAGTGCATTGTGGGTAACACTGCAAACTTATCCTTGATAGGGTTTACCCAATCAGGAAACAGTCAGGTTTACAGTGCATTGTGGGTAATACCAGCTTGCTCCACGCCATAACATTTTCAACGTTTTTTGCAGCACATCTACACTCAAAGAATGAATTAGCCAGAGATGAAGCAGTGGATGCCTCTAAGAACTTAGCAAAACAGTGCAGTGACCCTGGGGCATTGGAAGAACTTGTACAGCATTATTTTGCGGTACTGAATGGTACGAAATTTGTTTCTAATATAATTGCATTTGTTAAAAAACACTTTGTGTGTATGGTGATGGTAACTGTAGTTTTGCAGTTGACTTGTTGTTTAATGCACAATTGTATCCACCTGCATATATTGCAAACATTATCAGCAGCTATTACAACCAACAAGATACTTGCTTCTAATTTGAACTTCACTCTAACAAAATTATCAATATTGCATCTTGTAATACCAATAACAATAACATTTACCGCTCTGTAAAAATACATATCTGTATTTGTTTTAAAATATATCTGCACTTGTTCCTATATTATAATTTCTCTTATTACATTGATATCACATTATATATTAAATATTTGTATTTGTTTACATTGGACGCACAAGAACTATAATGCATGACTACAAAAAATGTAGGGAAAAGATCTATAATAATATGATTATCACAAGAATACCTGAAAGTATACACTCAGGCAGTACATCAGTTGATATGGTTGCTGTACTGCCTTTGTACAAACTGTCTAGTATTCTTTGCAAATACCGGTAACCTTTTAATCATCTTATGAATCTGGCACTGGTTTTCCTTGTGAAATTCTGGTATTACCTTTTGCCATTCTGGTATTATCTTTTGCCATAGAAGGCATACTTTAAAATAAATATAAAATTAGGATTTTATGTCTGAAGTTTGCTTCTTGTATTGATGTTTCAACATTTGCTTTCAGGTTCTGAAGGTAAATTGACTGTGACTATGCAGCGTATGGGAGTATTATCCGGCATTGGTAGTCTCACTTATAATACAGTCAGTGGACCAAGTGTGCAGAATTTAGCTGCTACTGCTGCAGACAACTTTATACCTTATCTGCAACTAGAAGGTGATTTAATGTTCTAAAATTTCTAAATAAATAACCTTTCTGTGCATGTCAATTAACTAGCATGCATAGTAATAAGCTTGTTTGCGATTTTTGCAAAACAACAAAGATTATATAGAACATAGTGGGTTGTGTTGACTATAAAAAAGTATGTTTGTCCTCAGCAGCCATGATATTTTCACCAATGAAGCTTATATTTGAACATTTGCTTTGTCTCCACAGTCCATGAAGGTACCTTGGTTCATGCTTTGTCGGTTCTTGCATTGTGGTGCTCTAAATTCTCAACACAAGTACCAATCAAGTTAGTGGAGTGGTTCAAAAAAAGGAATAACACTGAAGACTTCTACATCTCCTGTAAGAAATGGATATCTGCTGTGTATGTTAGCAGCTTTTCAAGGTAAGCATCATATGGGAATACAAATTGTAATGACATATCGTTTGGTAGCAGGATTGTGTTTTGTGTTTTTGGAGCACAAATTGATGACATCTGATTTTTTGCTTTTGGCAACAATAGCGTGTTTGTCTATTGACAGGAAAAGTATAGATTCAGGTCCTTTGGTCAACCACCGAATCAACAGAGAACGTGCATTCTGGCCTCTTGGATTATCTGTCTGTGATATCCTTGTTTTGAATTGTTTCCAATTTGAGGGGATATCGAATGCTGGAAGCAGGGTAGTGTCTGTTTGTATTCTGATGTTATTTTTATTTCAATATATAGGTGATACTTTACTACAAGGAATGGATGTGATGCCTTTATTATTACAAACTGTTGAGAAAGCAAACTCACAATCCAGTCAAATCAACATTGTCACTGAAGGACTGACGGCCGCTAGTTTGCTTGTCAAGTTATCACTGGTAGACATACAAGCTGGTATGTATCTTGTATGACACATTGACATTCTTGTGTTTACAAGTTTGAAGGTGCTAGCTATTTTTTAAACATGCATGCACATTGAATATTTATAATTTTGTTTTAATTGTTTACACAGAATCCAAGCTTGGACAGTTTTGGAACACAATACTGAATGCAAAGAAGCAGTTGTTTGTGTCTGATAAGTTTTTGACCTCAGTGTCAGCAGATGGTAAGTTTATTTGTTGTTACTTTACTCTTGAATAATGTCTGTAGCATGTGTTTACAGCTAACACAATAAAATACTTTGTCACCATAACGTTGATATAAATTATTCATTAATCTTAGGAGTATTGCAGGTTAGTATGTTTGCCTCATTCCAAGAGGTTACGTTCACTCAGCTAACTAGAGTTCAGTTTGCCTGACCTGGTATAAAATTCAGATTGGCATCCTTTCTGATAAACACAATAGCTGGTCATGTCTTAGAAAAAAAAAATATTTTAACATTTTCATGATATACTGTTTGTTTATGTCTCCGCAATAAGCCTTTTCACAATTATGCAGCCATCTTTAAATCCCCTTGATGCAATGCATCAGAAATTAAAATTTCTAAATTTGGGAAATATTTGCAATAAGTAAGTTGATTTAGATCCAGTGCTATGAGATATCCTCAGTATGCATGTTCAAATTTGCAAATTGCGTATGGATTTCAGAATTCTAGTAGTAAGACAACTGGATGTATTGTGTATATGTGATGCATATCCCAAATAAATTGTTACTTTACAATTTATTCCTTTTGGTTGTAGTTTTACAGAACCTGTTAATTATAATAGAAAGACTTTTGTTAGATAACCACCAACGATTGAATGATGAAATAACAAGGTATGAAATATTATTATTGTAATGTTTATTTCATTAAGTATTTCTTGACCAAAAAAGCTTAGTGAGTCACAATATTAATAGTTTTTAAAGAATTACAGTATTTGCTCTGGTAGAAGAACACATAAACTAATAATTGCATTTACTGTATCTGGATCATAATGTGTTTTATTTTGACCATCAACACACCCATGTCATTTACAAAAGTACTTGATTTTGTGTTATAGAATTTACTTAAAGGCCAGTGGCCATGACAACTGTGTACATTCATATGTAAATAAACAATGCATAACAAGCACATGCATATTTGTTGCTAGGCTTAGTGTGGGACCCACATCAAATATATTCCATTGAAATTAACACTGCAACTACAATATTTTGTGTCAAAATCTGTCTATAATTATTCGTTTCATTCTTTTCAACAGTATGTGAACTTATTCAATTCACTGTCAATCCTTTTTATGAAAAAAATGATAAGATCAAATGATATACATACAATGCCATTTTAGCAGAATTTTTCCGATATGACAATGAAAGCACATTTCCTCTTTTGAAAACCCACTAAAAATATTGTCAATTTTTAAATAATTCTAGACATCAAATTCTACCTTGTAGTATATCGTTTTGTTCTCCACATATCACTGAGCAACATTTTGAGATACTATAATATGTACTTGCCATGGGAAACAATGGTAAACTACCTTAAAACAGTCAAAACATGCTATTTTCACTGTATTTTTCTCTGAACTGAGTATGGTGTTCCAAAATTTTCAATTCATTTTCTTCAATCCTTCTAATATGATGTATCAAATTTGTAAAAATAATGAAAATGACAATAATTAACTTTTGTGTAGATTTACCTTAAAGTATGTCTTATTTGGCAAGTTTTATATCATTTCAATCAAAATTTATGTAAAAACGATTGTTTTTTTTCTAGTCATTATTTACATGCATTAGTAGCTACACTAGTGCATCCAGCATGGACACTCCGGCAAAGTGCACAACAATGCTGCAAGAAAGTTCTGCGAACACCTGGTGGTACTGAAGTGGCATACAGTCTATTAAAAGAATACAGGAAACTGCTATCTTCACAAAAGGTACTGATGAAATGAGCTGAGTTGTGCTAAATATATATCATTCAAAATTACAATCTTGCCATACATTATGGGCTGCATATAGCACCATGAGGGCAGATTACAACACTATGGGGGCAGCGTATAGCACTATGGGACAACATGTAGCACTATGGGGCAGCATATAGTGCTATAGAGGCTGCACGTAGAGCTATACGGGCAGCACATAATGCTAAAGGGGCAGCATATAGTGCTATAGTGGCAGCTTATAACACTATATAGGGCAGCATATTATTTGAATATGTCTGTCTGTTGGACATAATATTGTGAAGATGTGTACTAGTATGTAATTTTGTTTTGCAATTCAAAACAAAATGGCTGACACAGATTGTCTGTGCCTGTGGTATTTTGTGAATTCTCACATCTTACACTTCAATACAGATGTGTACATCTTTCATATGTGCTCACACTAACTAATAAAATCTATTCACTTAACAGGTGCAGGATTATGAGAACCTTCTTACCAGTGAAGAAAGTAGTGCAGAACCCTCAAAGGTGATACGTCCACAGATACTTGTCAGTGGATTGAGTATGGTTGTCTTAGGACCAGATTTTACTGATAGTAAGGAATGTCATGCCTTGGCTATGGAAATACTTTTTGACACACATCATCCATGTATAGGTAAGAATAGAGTAATTTGGAGTACTGTACATGTTGTAATTTATTCATCAATTGAGAGTAAAAGGTTGTCACTTGGTTCTGAATAGTTGCCAGAAAGATTACTAAAAATATTGCATCACTGGTCACCATGTTAGTTCTTATTTGGTTGATGTCACTTTCATTCCTGTGTTGTCTGTTACTTTTTCTACACTTTTATTCTGAAACTCGGTTATATGAAGAATTTTTTATGAGAAATTTTTGCAATTGTGAATGGAAATAAAAATTCTTGGAAAAGGACACATCAACAACAGTTGTTATGTCTGATGCATTGTTGACCCATTGTCCTTGTATATGTCTTGTCAACATGTTCTAAGGAGAATCAAGGGTTCATAAAATAAGGGTTTGCATTATTCATAACCCTGTATGGTAATATGCAATGAAGGTCACATAAGATGTAAACTCTTGTGCTTTGTGAACATTTAAATTTGAAAGCAATTTAATTTTGTGCACATCAATCAACCATAGTTCTAACCAAAACTGTCACAGAAGGCAATAATTGTTTGTGTAAACAGAAATGAGCGAAATTATTGTTACTTTTACACATTTTGCAAAAAGCACTGACACTATCAAAATGATCCGAGATGAACGACAAACATGTTCATTTGCACACTCACTAAATTACATTATTTCTAAAAATGTAGGTTTATTTTCAATTCATGTGTGAATTTCATCACATATCACACCCTTCATACCTTATTATATATTTCCATGACGATATATTATGAAAGTCAAACTGGTTTTCAATTGACATGAATGTTATAGAAATCATCTTGTTTGATGCAGCCTCCTAGGTTGGATACCGTGTTTATCTTTATCTGGCTTCCTACCAAAGTACTGCTCGGGGACTGTTTTCTTAGAGATCACTGTCTCTCTGTTTAGTTTGTAAATGTGCATGTATTTGTGAATTACATGTACCTTCAATTTTGTTTATGTCTCTTGTTTGTGTACCCCTATCTTATTGATTATTATATATTTCTATCAGTGGTAATTGTATGGCATGTGTAGTAAAGTCAGTAAAGTTGATTACATTTATATGGTCATACTTGTTTAATTCCTAGTATATGCTAACCCAAACCTTTGGACTGATTTACTGGTAAAATTGAAGGTGGAGCCACTCCAGTTTGTGGCTGAAAAAGCTGAGGAAATATTCACCAAAATTACATCAGGAAATGAAATTACAGAGGTATGTAGAGGATTGTTTTTCTTACTTTCAGCAGTACTAGGATTACAAGTGTAATATGCTGGAGTTGTGTAATGATATTAAATTTATTGTTATTGAAAGTTTGAAAATGTGGTTGTCTCTGAAACATTAAAATTTGTCTTAAGACAAGTATTTATTAGATAAAGTTGTGCAACTTTTCAATGTATGATGATATTGCAATGGCGCACCGTGAGTTCCATCTGTGGCTATCAAAAACAATTTCCCACAAATAGCACCACAAAATGGAATGAATGATACGACCTACAGTAATATTGTGAACGGAGAAGTGAAAGGTTAATTTTAGTTCTGCTCTTGAAAAGCAAACAAATTTGTGCGTATGCAAGGACACTCGAAAATCAATGAGACCAACACTAGTTCATCAGTTCTTCCACAAACTCACTCACTCATTTACATTTATTATTTCTAGAAATGTTCAGATTTTATGATAATGTCTCAATTCAAATGGTCCATGTATCTTCATTGTATTATATGGCTTATGTGTCCTCGCAAGCTTGGGCGTTTCTACCACACGACTTCGGGCCGCCAAAGCTGCATCAGTCTATACTAAATAATGCTGTTTTGTCCTTGTATATTGCAAACCCAACAAAAACCAATTAATATTCACAACGAAGAATTTTTCATGATTTGATGATTTTACGACATTCAAAATTTTGCTAAAGTCATCAACACTTATGAAATTTGAGTTTACAGAATCATTATTATCTTGACATTGGTTCCGATATGTTTTATATATTGTTTTCCTTTTTATAGCCTCAACTAAATGCATTGAAGACACTAGTTCGTATTGCACCAAGTGAAATGCTTCCACGCGTCATTACTCATTGTGTCAGTTTCCTTGGGACGGCGGAACTTTACAACATCACCCAGGATGAGTTTGCCATTTTGCTGACACCAGAAGGAGAGTTGTATAATAAATCAGTGCTTGCAAGGTAAGTACACAGTCATGTCAAATCATCATGCTGTCGTTCACCACCATTTTTCGCTAACAAAGTGTAATATGTCAAGTATTGTTGCGGATAGTGGTATGCGATTAGTGCTATAATGGAGGCATATGTGGTCATGTAACCTAATTAATATGCATAACTGTAATGTATTAGGCAATAAATAAATACCAGATGTGCTTCTAATATAGTAAATACAGTATTCCTTATTTGTACTTCATGTCATCAGTATTCTTAGCACATGGAGTTCTTTTTAAGCTTTTTGTGACTTTCCAAGTTGTTGGACTGGCAGCCATTTTCGTCCATTATTAAAACATTTTTTGGAGAAAGTCTGTAATAATTTCTCTTGCACTAATTTTGAAGTTTGAATGTCAAAAGATGTGACTATGATGTCATTGACTTTTTATGTTTGCAGAGATTTATTTTATTTGTATAAGAAGTGCTACCGTTAAAGTCCTAATATAAACCGCATACGTAATAGTAACCGCACCCCCAATTCCAGCTTCGGGGTTAAAGAGTTCTTAACAAAAATTGAAAACTTGAAAAGTACCTATTACTAACCGCACCCCCAATTCAACAAGACCATGACTGACTTCATTGTTTCAAACAGCTGTTCCAAAACGGCATTGTTCCTAATCCTATTCATTTGTTTCGACAACATGCCTAAAAATATTCACACCTATTTATTGTTCAGCGGTGATAAGATGTCAGACAGGCAATGAAACTGCTTTTGTTCTGGCGGCGACCTCTGTCAATACTCTTTCTGAATAC